CTTACCAGAATGAAAATGCAGGGAACACACTCTCAATGACATTGGAATACTGTGGAAAGTTATGTTCGGTCGTCTTACAGCCGCGATCCAAGCTAGCCCACAACTCTTTATCTCTGACGCTTGGTCTCCATGGTTACGCCTCCAGGCAGGAAAGCGGTGGAAAGTTAACCCATTTTCTATGTTTTTTCCATGGCGATCATGTGTTGAGCTATTACAGCCCACAATACAGCAACGATTTACCATGGTTGAAATCAAGTTAAGGTGAAATTAATCAAATTAAAACACGGCTGAGAGGGAGTACAGTACGCGGTAGTCATAGGCAGTAGTCTCAGCCGCGGTAAAAGAGGCATTCAACATGGCGGCGACGCAAAGTGCTTACGTCACGACGACCAAGCCCTATTATATTTTCAGTGCAATGTTAGAGTCCGGTTTATAAAACAATTTTTTGAGTGTGTGCAACATTTAAGGACAGTTTGAAAAAAAGTGTGTGACATTAGATGAGAGTTTAGTTGTGAGTGATAAGATTTGTTTGTGTGAAACAGTCTTTATGCGACCTGAGTATAAGGGTGCATTTCATTAAAGAGAACAGCAGCATTTATTACTACATTTATACAAATTTTATTAGCACTACAAACACTAGATCAGAGGTCACGGATTAGCGGACCGCAGTCCGGATCCGGACCCACCTGCTGGCTGATTCAGACCCAACCTGATTTAAAACATTTATAAATTACCGCATGTTGTCCGACGACAGTGTCTAATTTCACTTGCAAAGCTTCTCCTTTTTCTACGGTAAAGCCCTCCAGAGCGTCCGGCTCCAAGCTGCATGTGATACAAATTATCCAATGAGCTGCTGTCAGTCTGGGTTGCTGCTGCTGCTACTTTTAGACACTGCAGGCAAATCTGTGGCAAGCCAGGCGATGGGAAAGAAGAAGATAATGAGAAAAAGAGAGCAGAGAAAGTGTGGACTGCTGGGGGAACTGTGGTGAACTGGTGAAAGAAAAGTGAAATGGTGCTCAAAGATGACCCTGCACATTTAGAGGATGTTTGGCACAACTTGCTGCTGTGAAGCAGGATTCTCCACCATGAACAGAATCAAAAGTAAATATGGTTCCAGGCTCAAAATGAGCTCCTTGATATGTGCTTTAGAATGGCTTTGTCTCCATTCAAACCCAGGTTTAAAGCCTTGCAGGGCAGCCTAAAGCCCACTGCCAACATTAAGCCAGAAAAAAAACAGTCAGTTCAGGTGTTTTATAAAATATGTGAATCAGGAAATTTTCTATATACCAAACTGAACAACTGTTGTTCTCTACTTAAAAGAACACTTTAGATTTTAAAATGGAAACATTTTCTATTTTTTTTTCTATATATTTCTATTTAAAAAGTCAATGTATAACATGGGTACATAAAAACATTTTATTTTAGTTTTCAATTCTGTTTTAAGTAACAGATTATAATTAAAAATGTCTCTGGACCTTTACTGGTTGATGATTTTTAGCCAGACTCTGCTGGTTTTTAATTGGTTAGCCCTGCACTAGATACTGTTTATCAATGTTTAAAGCATCAATGGCTGTGATGAATGAGGAATTGGGACTTTTTATCTCTTTGAAAAGTTTTGCAGCAACTAATATAGAAGGTAAATACTTGCCTATTTAACCAAATATAGTCTAACTATGTGTGTTATATGTAGATTTCTCCTATATTTTCATTTGAAGATAAAGAATACTGCAGATTAATCGATCATTGAAATAAATGTCAACCCGCTTGGAAGAGTAATTATGTCAAAATTGTAAAAAAAAATAAAATAAAATAAAAAATTGCTTTAAAGATAAAAAAAATGTTTTGTCTGCCAAAATTTTCTATCCAGAACTCCTCAAGTGGAAACATTTTAGTTTCACCTTGTTTAATTTAATAAAAAAAACTTATTTAAGGAACTTTTTGTTAGCCAATTAGTTATTGATTCATCAAAAAGAAATCGTAACATGGCAAACACATTTATTACATCTGAAGTGGAGAAAACAGCCAAAAGAACAAACGTGCTAATCAGGCGAACTATACTAAAATTCATGCAGCATCATTTTGTGAGCTCTAAAAGAGATCACATAATCCATTGACTCATACTGAACAAAACTAAACTCTCCCCAGAAGCCTTGAAGGTTCAGACACATCTCTCTACTTCTGCTGCAACATCATCACTCATTGTTCGACTTCCCTAAATTCAGCCATATCAAATACAAATTGATATTTATATTGTATATAAATAAATAGCTGCTCCTTAATTTGTGATTAAAATAATTTAGACATCACCTGCTTTAATTCCGTAAAAGTAAAAAAAAAAATCCACTTACTTGGTTTCCAAGATTTGAAGACGTTTCGCTACCTCTCCAGGAAGCTTTCTCCATTCAAATGTCTGGATCCGCAGTGAGTTTGAGTCTTATATAGACAAAGCCTTGTATCGCTTGGAAACATGCAAATGGTAACCGATGAGTGGGTCGTTTGGTTCCATCTTTAGTCTGTAATATCTGAAACCTGTCTATGATTCTGAGGGTTGGTCATTAAAGGGGAGGATTGTCGTTAAAGGGGGGATTGTCTCCTGTAATACCTGAAATCTGTCTGATTGTTAAGGGTTGGTCGTTACACTGCATGAAAAGTGGGATTTTCGTCAATATGCGGCACTGTAGATTGTCGTGGAANTCTTAAATAAAGTGATTTTTCTTTTCAGTGCCATGCTCTCTTTGAACAGAAGATTTCTCAACTTTATGCTCTGACATCTTTGAGTTGTCAGCCTTCAAGTACATCCAGTTAATGTGGAACCAAGGTCTCACCTTGGAACTGTTGACAGCTGTATAGAAAATGTCATGTACTGTACTGTATTTGGGCAGGCAGGACATCATATACCACCCTGAGCTTGTTATGGCTGTATTAAGGCATGCTGATCCACTGGGGAAGAGACCAGGCTGAGATTTGAAATGACATGGTGTTTATGAAAGAATGTCATTTTTACTGGACATCTCCACAGAGCCGCGTCGCGCCACTTGCTCGACTGCTCTTGATGGAAGTCTCTACCGGCTCCAGCATCAGGTTGCGGTTGTTCTTGTTTTTGTCTTGATCCGTGACATAACTCTGGTTTTGACTGACAACAAAAAATAAATAGGTTGCTTCAAGTCCCAAAATACACAATTGACTGTAGGATATATTTTTGCAAAAAACTGAAATAACAATAAAATAAATTATAGAAAACAGCAACAATAAATCCAGTCAAAATAGGTTATAGAAATGCATTATTAAGAACCCAAAACAACTGTCAACCATACTTACAATTCATCTATTTTATCATGGGGGGTTTTATTAAAAAAGAAATGACTTTTTGAATGCAATAAACCATCTATTAAATTCACCTGTCTTGACTGTCCTTTGGCACTGTGCTGTCTTCATAGATTTTCAGCATTGTTTCAGTTCTGTCATCAAGATGCTCTTTAGGCTCCTGAAACCTATAAAAAAGATCAACATCTATGTGGTCATCAGAACATCAGGTCATAGATATTAAACTTAACTAGCAAGTAACAAAACCCCTTTTTAAAATCTGTACCATTGAATAATGTCAATGTGAAATTAGGGTAAAATATCAAAACATATTCCATACGTTTGATCTACTAAATTTTATTGATTTTAATATAATATTTTATTTGTTTATTATAAGCCGAAAATAGGCACACGGAATTGCAACAAATTTCAGTCATATCTACAAGGTAAACGGGTATTAAGAAAGATTAGCACACCTGGGCTCAAGCCTCTCTTTGACTTTAGCAATTGACATGATGTAGGGGCTGATCTGTCTGGCAATTGTTGTTAAATAAGAGTTCTCCTGTTTCAGCTGCATCAGGTCATGAAGCTGAGCTGCAGTCAGAGATGAATTAATGTAGGTTTCATACAACAAGAGAAAGATAAGTAGTCAGGGTCAAATATGTGTTATCGCTGCTGAACAAAAACCTTCATAAATCTCCTGCTCATTGTTAACCATCTGCAAAGTTTCATCCCAGATCTGTGAAGAAAAGAATGAAATGTATATTAAGGGATTCATTGTGTATTGCAAGGGAAAAGGATGCTCCGCAATTATGAGCAGGAATAATATACATTAAGGTCAACAAAAATAAGGTACATACTGTATTGCTTAGATTGTAAATATTATATATATGATCAATGTAAACAATTTTTTTTGCTAATTATAGGAAAATCCTAAAATGAGTTAAATGAGGAGTAAATTTGAATTAAAGCTCAGGTTTCGTTACACATACCTCCTCAAACATAACCCTCATTGTGTCCACAGTGGAGTACTGAGCAGCAATCTGGTTGTCAATATGCAGGGACCTGTCCAAGATTTCTCCCATTTTATCTGTGTTGATGATGGAATGGTGTTTGGTCAGATCTCTGTGCAGCTCCTGGACCTGGTCCTTTAGATTCTGGATCTCTGTCTGGAGACTCTAGAAACACCAAAGACACAAAAAGAATGTTTGGTGGATGTAAAGTTGTCTGCTTTGGAGATCTGAGCATAAAATGTTTGTTACTGTTTAAGCAAATTGAAAGTGAATCTCTCTGACTTAATGGCTCACTTAATTTCTTATGATTCTTCTTAGATTAGACTTATAGTTAGACAGATTTTATTTGTCATTTTGTTTACAAAAGTGTAAAACAAAAAGAAATTTCGTTTGGAACAGCTATCTTAACAATTTCATCTTTTTTTTAAAATGCAGCCTTGAAAAATAGCAAAAATGACTGTAAATTTACACTTCTAACTTTTTTTTTCTTGATTTCGAAGATCTTTGATTTCTTATTTTTTTTTTCTTTTTTTTTTTAACTAAAATAAGGCAACTATTTTGTTTCCTCTTGTAAAAACAACAACAACAACTAAATAATGGAAATGGGACAGCTGGTTATTTTCCCTGCTATAACCAAGCCTTTTAAAATATTGTTAATCCAACTGTTAGTCTGAATATTGAATATGTCAACAACAAAGAACATTTTTAAGTCATTATATTTTGATTTTACAATTTCATAGTTAATCTTAAGTGAGATTTTTTTCGCCATACTTTACTTAAATTTTTCTTTTTTATCCTTTCGTAATACTTCCATAAAAATAAAAAAAATAAACTATGAATATTTGTTATGTATGTTAAGAAAATAGGTGGAAGATGGCATCTATTAATTAAATGAAACATATTAAATACAAACATAAAATTGAAATAGCATTAATTGCTTCCAGGTCAACAAGGTAGAGTACAAAATAAAGGGACTCAAGAATAAAATTGTGTATCAGTTATACAAATTTAATACTTGACAATGTTTCTTTGTACACAAAATAAATATATCTGTATTTATTCATATAAACTGCCAAATTGTTTTTATTAGGGTTATCAAGTAGCCATTGAATAACTAATATTTTTTTATACGTTTTTTTTTTTTTTATGAGTCCTTTTTTTTTTTCCTGTATGGCCTTTTTTGTGTAAGCTCATCATCATTTTGTTGTCTTCATTTATAGAACTGCTAGGATAGATAGACAGAAAAATAAAGATAACTGCTAAATACTGATAAATTCAGACCTATTAACCGTACACGGTTATTACCATAGTCTTTTTATCGAGTTCTAAAACAGGGTATATAAATAATGACATTTTTGTTATATGTGTTGCCTAATACTGTAGTGTGAGTAGAAAGTAATTTAGGCAGCACATAAACGTGGCCTTTAAAAGTATAATCCTTTACATTCTATATCAAAGATAAAAGATAAGAGAAATATATCTTAATTATTACAAAATTACAAAATGCTATTTTCAAAAGATAAATTCATTGGTTAAAGTAAGAAAATACATAAAAATAAAACGTTTTCAGAACCAGCATGAGCCTTTTTAAAAGCACCTACACTGTTTGTGATAACGCCGAAGTTTCATTGGCTTTTCTTTGTACATTTGTTTTGGTTCGGCCAACTTGGAGGAGTGTTCAATATGAACTGAATGTTTAAGCTCCAGCAACAGCATCTCAAAGGAATTTAAGTCAAGCCTTTGATTTGGTCCAGTTAAGGCCATCCAGAGGCAGACCCGCTGGTTTGCTCC